TTCCAGAAAAATGTAATTATGTTGTTCATTAGATATGTCATGTTCGTATTCAATTATCAATATAAATGAGACTTTTTCCTTCTGTACTATTTATGAGAAGTATAAAGCACGTAGAGTGAACGTGTAAAATTATGTTTAATCTTTTCTCTCTTTTTCTCATGATTTACTGCAATAATCATTTTCATATTTCATATTGAATTTCATTTATTCAAGGTCAATTGCCCTCTGACTTACAGAGACAAAAGATTAATAATGTTCCAATCCGCATATCGATGTTTTAGATCATTTTCGAAAACGTTTTTAATTACTTTTAATATAAAAAGCAGATTATAAAATGAACTGTTTGAAATCAACTTGAGGTTATACAAATTGGTTTAGGCAAATACTATGTTCGTTATTTCGAATGAATAAAATTTTCATCGAAAACAATTTAATGTCGTGAAAGTATATTTTCTATGTGATCTCAGTTTTCAACACGTGAAAAGTAACAGCGATCTCTTATTAGCTCTTTCTTATTCAAGCAATGTAACTTTAACAAATTCGTATTATAGTCGAAATCGTTCTCATCAAAAGTAACAATTTTTTTGGATAATACTCAGTCAGTTTTTGATGGTTCAACTCTCATGTTCGAACTTCGCAAATAAATTTATGAGACAGTCTATACACATCGACTTTCAGTTCCATCAATTACACTGGGGAAAAAGTTTTTGTGTAAACAGACGCACTCACTGATTTTATGGTTTGTTCAATTTATGGATTACAAAAGAAGAACACGCGCTCTATCCTCATCCAACATGTTGATTTTATATTTACACGTTAGCATTGCGTATATTTTTCATTGAATTCCACCTCTATACTACTGACATCTTTAGGTCTTACTTGCCTTACGATGTTTCTTCAGTCCTGTCAATGCAAAATGTAATTTCTCAATCTTTGACAATGAAAAGCTAAAAATCAAACTGCTTTCTGTTTCATTTCCCAAACAATATACAATCATGAGAATCTTTGATGAGTAATCCAACTCAATAACAAAATTGATTTCAGAAGTTTTAGTGCTCGTTGCAATGACTTGCTCAATTCTTCGATTACCTGCTGAAATTACGTATCGAATACTTGATCACCTCGATGAATCAACATTCATCTTATCACTTCGCAATGTGTGTAAACGATTAAATCTCATTCTTGATACTTATTATCGATATCAGGTAAAGGTTTTATATTGTTAAAACCATTTCATGTCAACCTTTAGTGTAGAGAGAATAGAAATATCCAAAACATTTCATAAATGAAGATAAACATCATACACACTTTGATGATATTTCGTTTAGGTCGTAAGAAATATATTAGTTGATGATTTGTTCAGCAACGACGAAAATCAAATTCTAGGTGCATTATCTAAATATCGACATTTATTGAATATAGGTTTTGAAAAATTCTTTTCATTTCATTTGGAATAAATCGTTTTATTATTCAGCTGCTAGTTCAAAAAATCAACAAGTGTCAATTCAAATTGTCAATCCCGATATAGTTTCTCGTTTGATTCAAATATTAAATTCTGAACACGATCAAATCCAAGTACATTATTTTCTAATCTTTCATAAGAACAATGATATTTAGTTATTTGTAGCACAATGCTTTGTGGATCTTACTGAATATGGCAGGTGGCTCATCTCACCACACAAAATATTTGGTCAATGCTGGTGTCATTCAAATTTTGATTGAATTGATAAATAGTCCGAAGGAAAACATTCAAGAAAATGTAAACAAAGAAATGAGTGTAATGTTTGATCAAATGCGTTTCATTTTAGGCTATCTGGACACTATCAAATATCGCTGGAGACAATTGTCAATATCGCGATTATGTTCTTAATGGTGGTGCTCTTCCACCATTATTAAAGTAAATTAATCTTTTCTCTGAATAAACAAAATGAAGAAGACAAATTCTGTTCAAGTATTTTATCTAACAGTACCCGTGTACCAACGTTACAAACAGCGGCATGGTGTTTATTAAATCTATGTCGTGGTACAAGTCCATCCGTTGATGTTACTAAAGTAAAAGCAAAATATTCCTTGAGTTTTATGTCGAATCAATTTGTTGGTTTATAGGTTGAATCAGTTGTGCCTATGCTAAATCATTTACTTGCTAATTCAGATGAATTTGTATTAAATGACATTTGTTTTGCATTAAGCTATTTATGTCAACTATCAAATGAAATACTTTCAGCGATTATACAAGTTGGTGTGATACCTCGACTANGAATAGGTTTCATAAATATTAAATCGTACTGATGTTGTATAATCAAATATAGGTGTTATAATTAATAGAATCTTCCAGAAAAATGTAATTATGTGGTTCATTAGATATGTCATGTTCGTATTCAATTATCAATATAAATGAGACTTTTTCCTTCTGTACTATTTATGAGAAGTATAAAGCACGTAGAGTGAACGTGTAAAATTATGTTTAATCTTTACCCTCTTTTTCTCATGATTTACTGCAATAATCATTTTTATATTTCATATTGAATTTCATTTATTCAAGGTGAATTATCCTCTGACTTACAAAGACAAACGATTAATAATGTTCCAATTCGCATATCGATGTTTTAGATCATTTTCGAAAACGTTTTTAATTACTTTTAATATAAAAAGCAGATTATAAAATGAACTATTTGAAGTTAACTTGAGGTTATACAAATTGGTTTAGGCAAATACTATGTTCTTTATTTCAAATGAACAAAATATTTTCATCGAAAACAATTTAATGTCGTGAAAGTATATTTTCTATGTCATCTCAGTTTTCAACACGTGAAAAGTAACAGCGTAGCTGTTCCTTATTCAAGCAATGTGACTTTAACAAATTCGTATTATAGCCGAGATTGTTCTGATCAAAAATAACAATTTTTTGGATAATATTCAGCCAAGTTTTGATGGTTCAACTCTCATATTCGAACTTCGCTAATAAAGTTATGAGACAACCTACACACAGACTTTCAGTTCCATCGATTACACTGGGGAAAAGTTTTTTGTGTAAACAGACGCACTCACTGATTTTATGGTTTGTTCAATTTTTGGATGACAAAAAAAGAACACGCGCTCATATCCTCACCCATATTCTTTGCACTTCATTTTTTTATTCATTCTTATCATTCACTTTGACCCACATGTTGATTTTATATTTACACATTATAGTATTACGTATATTTTTCATTGAATTCGGCCTCTATACTACTGACATCTTCAGGTCTTACTTGCTTTACGATGTTTCTTCAGTCCTTTCAATGCAAAATGTAATTTCGCAATCTTTGACAGTCAATGAAGTTGTTTTAACGATGAATAAAGTAAACCAACACATATTTTTCGACTTTTAGAATCCACCTTTGAGTTTATCGTGAAGACGAAAACATCAAATTCGATTTATAAGTTTCATTGTCAAATATGCAATATCAACAATAATATATTTGATAATGAAAAGCTAAAAATCAAACTGCTTTCTGTTTCATTTCCCAAACGATATAGAATCATGAAAACCTTTGATGAGTAATCCAACTCGATAACAAAATTGATTTCAGAATTTTTAGTGATCGATGCAATGACTTGTTCAATTCTTCGATTACCTGCCGAAATTACGTATCGAATACTTGATCACCTCGATGAATCGACACTCATCTTATCACTTCGCAATGTGTGTAAACGATTAAATCTCATTCTTGATACTTATTATCGATACCAGGTAAAGGTTTCATATTGTTAAAACCATTTCATGTGAACCTCAGTGTAGAAAGAATAGAAATATCCAAAACATTTAATAAATGACGATAAACATCATACGCACTTTGATGATATTTCGTTTAGGTCGTAAGAAATATATTAGTTGATGATTTGTTCAACGATGATGTCAATCAAATTCTAGGTGCATTATCTAAATATCGACAATTATTGAATATAGGTTTTGAAAAATTGTTTTCATTTCATTTGGAATAAATCGTTTTATTATTCAGTTGCTAGTTCGAAAAATCAACAACTGTCAATTGAAATTGTCAATCCCGATATAGTTTCCCGTTTGATTCAATTATTAAATTCTGAACACGATCAAATCCAAGTACACTATTTTCTAATCTCTCATAAGAACAACGATATTTTGTTATTTGTAGCACGATGCTTTGTGGGTCTTATTGAATATGGCAGGTGGCTCATCTCACCACACAAAATATTTGGTCAATGCTGGTGTCATTCAAATTTTGATTGAATTGATAAATAGTCCGAAGGAAAGCATTCAAGAAAATGTAAACAAAGAAATCTCTGTGATGTTTGGTCAAATGCGTTTCATTTTAGGCTATTTGGACACTATCAAATATCGCTGGAGACGATTGTCAATGTCGCGATTATGTTCTTAATGGGGGCGCTCTTCCACCATTATTAAAGTAAACTAATCTTTTCTCTGAATAAACAAAATGAAGAAGACAAATTCTGTTCAAGTGTTTTATCTAATAGTACGCGTTTACCAACGTTACAAACAGCGGCATGGTGTTTATTAAATCTATGTCGTGGCACAAGTCCATCCGTTGATGTTACTAAAGTAAAAGCAAAATATTCCTTGAGTTTTATGTCGAATCAATTTGTTTGTTTATAGGTTGAATCAGTTGTGCCTATGTTGAATCATTTACTTGCTAATTCAGATGAATTTGTATTAAATGACATTTGTTTTGCATTAAGCTATTTATGTCAACTATCAAATGAAATACTTTCAGCGATTATACAAGTTGGTGTGATACCTCGACTAGTAGAATTACTCGAGTAACTATGCACAAAAAAATGTTCATTAAGTCTCCTAAGTATTCAATTTATAGACATATCACTTTTCGAGTTCAACTGGCAGCTTTGTCTGCTCTAAAAGAAATTCTTGGTGGCAATGAGGAACAAATACAGGTATGAAGTATAACTCGAGATAAAGTTAGGACAAACAAATTTGGAGTAAATTAGATTGTACTTGATGCTGGTGTTCTTCCTCATTTACTTAGATTATCTTACAATCGTAGAACATTGACCGAAGAAGCCCTTTATGATGCTATAATCAATATTACTCGCGGTAATGAAAGTCAAATTCAAGTAAAATCAAAATTTTCATCGTAAATCTCATAATAAATCTGATCATTTCAGGCAGTTATTGATGTGGGAATACTTTCGATACTGATTGGTCGTAGCCCTGATAATACAAATGAGAAAATACAAAAGAAAGCTGTTCGTGTGATATATAATGTTACACGTCTATCATCAGAACAAACAAAGTATTCATTGAACAGAATTTCATTTGCAATTTGAATGATTTACTTTTTTCATCGACAGATATGTCGTTGATCAAGGAGCAATTCCAATGTTGTGTTTTCAATTAAATACACAAACAAGTGACATCGTTTTGATGAGTTTAGAAAATATTCTTCAATGGGGAGCAAAAGAAAGTCAACAAACGAATAAACATAATCCATATGCAATTATAATGAAAGATTTACATGGTTTGTAGAAAGAAATTCAGTAAATCCGAAATTATTTTCTGTGATATTTTTAGCTTTGAAAGATATTGAAACGCTTCGAACTCATGCGGATATTGAAATTGCGACGAAATCTTCTCGACTAATTCAAACATACTTTAATGGTTTATGAAATTTGATTTTGTTGAGAGTGAGGAAACATGTTCTCATAGATAGGTTTCGTTTGTTGTTATTTAAATCAAATGAATGATATCATTTGTTAGAATGAAGTCTTATTTCTTTCAAAGTCAACTGTTGAAATGTTAACAAGAGATGAATTTTCTTCTGTAAAAAAACGAAACATTGATCGTTTATAATTGTGATATATGACTGTGGATTAAAAATCTGTTTTTTTTTGGACGTTTACCAACTGAATTATTTCATGCGTTATTCGAATATCTTTGGGCTCATGAAATTTTTCATTCGTTTTTCAATCTCAATTATAGAATTAATTTTCAATTCATCCGAAAATCGATCTCTCATTTGATTTGTAAACAAAGTCGACCTGAACAAGTCATTTCATTGATAGTTTCTGATCAGAACGGCACACCGCGCGAACCAATCTCGAGTATTTTTTATCTTATTTCCGTATTGATCTCTCGTATACTTTCACGGCTTTGACTCAATTCAAACATGCTATTAAAAACAACAACTGAGAGTAACAATTCCTAGTAAGATTCTATCCTGAAAATGAGATCATCTATTTTTCCCTCTCAAAATACGATTCCAATATTGGATAGAGCAATGTCTATGGATGATATTGAACAGTTTCTACAAAATTTTCCGAATTTAACTCATTTGGAAATCAATGATGTGTTCGGACGTGCTGATATGGACGTTGCTGATGGTTATCGATGCGAAATGCTTACACAACGGTTAGTTTCATTCGATTTCATCTTCCATGTCACAAATTACCTAACAGAACAAAACTTCGATTCTTTCCAAACTCCATTTTGGACTGAAGAGAAACATTGATTTGTTGCATTTTATGGCAAATGTTTATTTCTTTCCATCACGTAGTTCGTTTTATTTCAATAAAAAACCTTCGATTACTTTCGAATGATTCATTCGAAAGTTTAGCATCAATCATTGATTTGAATCAAATTGAATGTTCAACTCTTTCATCTGATTCATATCATTTACTCAAACATATTCAAAGTTCTCGACCAACAAAACGTCATACCTTATGTTTTCTAATGGTCTATTGATAAATTTTTTCTATCAGATCAGCGAAACGTTCAATGAAATCAAATATGTACATTGAAATTTGGATTCTCGACTTTTTGGCAACACACGATTTATGATTTGGATAAATTAAAGCATTTATTTCCATGTGCTGAACATGTTAATAAATGCGGGTTATTAAATCTCGATTCGAGATGATTTCTTTCATTGATAACTTTAAACGATTTAACGAGTATTTCATTTGCTGTTGAGATTCTGGTGAACGACTCAAAGTAAAATATTCAGAATTTGATTCCGAATTAATCATTCATGATATCAGACAATGGACTAAGATGCTCGGTTACCTGTCGAATTGATTTCTCGGCAGATGTTGTTGATCCCTTCGGATATATTCATATATGGCTTATGGAGAACGAGTAACAAATTCGAACGTCGTTTGTTTTCAACATGCTTTTCTTTTTCTTAAACATCAAATCCAATTTTATCGAATAAACATAAAACAATCTCGATTCGAATCTTCTCAGAATAAACGCGTAGATCTGTTAGGTCTCATTACGATAATTTTCAGTTATTACATCAATCCTATGATGAACAATAATTCCTTTCAATTTCACTTTTGTCTGTCTTTTCCTATTGAAATTTTCACCAGTTATCTACTTGCTTGTGTGATTTATCATAAGTTTTTCAATAGTGTGAACTCTATTAGTATTTTTGCTTTTCTAATTTTCATTTGGTATGTGATAACAAGACTCAAATTTCTCTAAGTTCTATTATACATCTCTTCGTCGTACGCTTTATTGTCTTAAATGAAATGAAATCTTCTTTGCAAATATACTAGATGAATTGTCATTAGAAGATAGGTACGCTACATATTCGAACAGATATATTGATGCACTTTCAAATTCTATTGATGGTTTTCTTCTCGTTGAGAAAGCTAATCTGAGTGAATTTCGTAAAAGTTGGTTAAATAGAGAGTTTTCTATGAAAGGATTAAGAACATGAAAAAGATTTGTTCCTCATCTATCTATCTTGGAAAAGGTTGTATCATGGCTCTCTTCTATTCCTCATTATGATCTTGATGACGTTCGATTGTTACAGCATTGTCCTGATACTTTTTGCTAAAACTGTTGTTTTCTTTTCCTTTTTAATTTTTTCGTGATTTCTTTCTTTTGTGTTTTCTGTTTTATTTTTTTTTTGCACTTGGCGAGTTCACTGTTATCTTGCACTTTTAGGATCATCTGATCACAGACTTCAGCAGAATGAAAAAAAAAGATTCAAATTTCTCTTGATTAAATAAGAACATTCATTGATACGTGTCAATGAGGACGAACAAATATAGTTCGATTTCGTAATTTGAATCACTGAAATTGATAACATTTGCGAGAGCTGACAAGGACGAATTGTCTTGTATTTTCTTATCAAAGGGCAAAATAACGAAATAAAAAGCCATCGAGTTCGCGTATATGTCAATAGTTTATTAAGAGAATGATGATAATTGTGCACTCAGTGACACTGGATTTCTTTTCTATTTTTATTGGAATTCTCATCGGTGTGACATCGTTCATCTTCATCTTCGGATATCATTGCAAACGTCCTTCATCGATCGTTGAAAGATCCTCATCTCTTCATTGGAATCCATCAATCGAACGACGAGGACTCGGTAATTTGATTACAAGATTAAATCACATCGCGATAACAGTGTATGATGTTGGTCGATCTGTTAGTTTTTATGTCGATGTGTTGGGATTTCAACAAATTCGTCGTCCAAGTTTTGATCGACATGGTGCGTGGTTAACGATGGGAAATGTTGAACTTCATTTAATTAAAGGAATTCCAGCAATTCCATCTGTNTCTTTTCTCTTCCTGCTTTTTCACCTCGTTATTATTGGTTTCCATCAACATTACAAAGAATTAAACATCGCGGATTTTTTTCAATGCAATTCAATTTTTTCACCTTTTCCTCAAATTGAAACTTTGATTTTACAATGTTCAATTCCAAAAATTGAGACATTGAAATCTGTGGTGAATATTTTTATCAGTGAAACATTTAAAAATTCAACCAATTGAGGTTTTGTCTCGTTCAATATTTGATGACATTTTATCTTCAGCAGCAAATCTCAACGAATTGACTTTGAAAAGTTCGTCTTTACTCAAGTTTAATGATTATTATCTATTGGAAAATGTCATTTATGAACAAATCAAATATTTGACAATAATAAATATAATCGATGGAAATGATGTAAAGGAGATCAGTCAATTATTTCCAAAAATTGAACGAATTACTTTGTGTGGGGAGGAACGAGATGAAATTCTTCCAATTCGAACTCAACTGCAATGTTTAATCATTACAAAGATTCAATGAACTCATCCAATGAAAACACTTACGGAAATTATCGACGAATATCTACAAAAGAATCAGATTTGTAGTAACACTGAGTGTGCATATTTAAAATTTCAATAAATATTCCTTTTCATCATCGATATTCTGATTTGAGAATGATTTTTAACAATTCTTTTATGAATATAACTCGACAGTACTGTTCGATCCATCGAGTAAGAAAATCTAAAGATCAGTTTGTCGAAGAAGAAAAGTTCCTAGTTGAGTATCTTGATGAAGAGTAAAAAGCTAATAAATAGGTTATATTTATAATTTAAAAAAAAACATTTCTTATCACAATCAAACAAATGTTATTCACCTTAACACAGTTAAGATACATTAATGTCTTCAAACATGTCGATTCGACATAGATTTTCTTCTCAAAGAAATAACGAAGAGAAAACATCGATCATCAACAATTCTGAAGAACGAGTAAGTACAAATCTTTCCGAAGATCTCAGATCGATTTCGATGATTATTTAGTTATCAAACAGTGTCTCTTCTGCTTATCAACGACCAAGATTTGAATATTTGCGATATAAATTACAAGAAATGTTTGTATCTAAACTTAACCATAAGAATTTGGGTACTTTGTTGGTGTCAATAAATGCTATTTACACAAATCCAATTCTGGATAAGATTGTATTTTCACGATATCCAATAAATCCTTGGTTTGCTTTTTTTATTAAAATTTTTCTAAGTTATATCATTTCTTGTATTATTTACCATAAGGTTTTCAAAGATCGCAAATCTCTTCTTCGTTTTGCTTTAATAAGTTTACTTTTTACCCTGATGTTTTCGTTTATAATCCAACGGATTTAGTTTGATGAACATAATCATATCATTTCTAATCAAATTCACTTTCGAAGTCATTACTAAGTCTTTGTTCAGTGTTACTTACACAGATTTATTATTTTTAATTATTAACATACAATGAAGGTCCTTTCGTCACTGATTGATTTACATCGACATCGGATATGATTTATTGTATTGATCAATTCGCACATTTATCGAATATTTCATTTTTTATCAATGAATCAGTAAGACAAAAATCAAAAGATCAATTGAATTTTGATTTAATTATTAATGAAATTAAAAAATTCACAAATATATTACCTACCAGTATACGTTCATTTATGGCTTGGTGAACGAGTGAGTATAGATATTATTGAATGGTATCACAATCAATTCAACGTGAAATATTTAAATTTCGTGAGATTGCTCCAGCAGAACTAATTAGTACATTACCGCTTTTTGCGGTTCTAGACTTTGTGAAGCAGAAATTTATGTATGTTAGATCTTTGTATGCTCTCATTGCTGATTGCGCTAGAACTCATACTTTCTTACATCATTGCTCGTTATTTTATTCGTCATTTTTTTATTAAAAAATCTAATTTTCTTTTCGTATGTCTATGGTTCTTGTATTTTAATTCTGTGATAACAACTTTTAAACTTGATTGGATCGTCGTTTTCTTCGACAAAGTCGAAAGAATGATTCTTTAAAAGTTTTTCGATACAAGTCCGATGGAATAACGAATAAAATAAAAATGAGTACCGATGGTAGAAATGAGATAAAATAAGCGCAAAGATATAACCATAAATGATTAGTGACATTCACACATCCAGATAATAATGAAATGACCAGACGTGGTGTTGAGAGAAGAAGGAGAATCGTAGGACTAATGACAAGGTGTTTGTGTTCTTTCCATTGTTCGCGAACATGTTTTCTATACGACTGTTGTTTTTGAACTTCTGCTCGTCGTCGTGCACTTCGGATAATGATGAATAAGGCAGAACAAAAATTGGCAATGAATGGACCGAGAAGATGAATAAATAGAATGACTGTGTTATAATTTTCAATTGATTGTGAATAAGAAGTTGTACACCAAGTATCCGTACCTATTACAACCCCTTGTGGGATTTCAAACAATGGGTCGATGGATATTTCTCCCTTATTTTTATAAGAAAACATGTGACGATATAAAGGTTGATGGATGGCTGTGGCACTGTTACAAATTGGTAAAATGAATATGATCCATCGCGCGAAACGTTTACTTTTTTCTTTATCAAAACTCACTCCTTTGTAAACATTCACAGCACGTTCAACGGCAATACATGTATTCAACCATGCATCCCAATAGAAGAAAAGTTTGAGAAGAGTTTCAATCGATTTGCAACCACCTTGAAGAACCGATAGATCAATGGAGATGTTTGTTTGTGTGATAACAACAAACCAAAACTTGATGGCGAACATTGTAATTGTTAAAAGAGAAGTAATTGATGATGCTAGAAGATACAGTCCACATCCGACTGTTCGTAAATTTCCATTTTGAAATGTTAAAAGTGAGAAAGCACTACTAATGACACCAACAAAAAGCATAATCGTTGTTAAAACAGCACTGATTTTGATAACGAATGGTTGATCATTTATTGTCGCATTTCGTTTCAGTTCAAGACGCAGAATATCATCGAGAGTTAAACCAATGCCTTTAGCTTGGTGGTCACATGGAACACCAACATGACAATAAGCTGAATTATCAACTAAAAAGATTATTCATGATTATAAGATGTGAAGTTAGTACGACGAAGTAAAGAATCATATCGAGCTTTACATAAAAATGAATCCATTCGATGCAGAATCAAATCTTGCAATGAATGGGTTCATTTCTATGTACAGTTTTATGCAGTCCTTCATTCCTTAGTGCTATGATTTCTGACCGATTTCAAGATTTTACTAGTACTCACTAAAGCGTTCAAACGTGACATCTGCTGGTCCAGATACCGTAATCGATATCGATGATGTCTGCAATGGTTCCATAGTTGTCACAAGTAATATGTATGTAGTGTTAGCTTGAAGCTCAGCTGAAAGAGTTATCCGAGAAAGAGTTGCACAGGAAAAAGTCTTGTTTTTTACACGATTTTCGAATGGATTCCACGGATCAAATTGATTTTTGTAAATGTACATGTCCATGCCTTGATTGAAGTCTCCCATAAAAGTATAGTATGCAGTTGTGAATATAGTTAGTCTTACAGTTTCATAGTAGTAAGATTCACTGAGGCAATCCTTACGATATGTGGGATTAACTACTGTTAAGTTTGAAGAATATTTTGAATGAATAATCGGTGAAATATCTATTAAAAAGAGTAATCAGTTACAGGTTGTGATATGAAAAGATTTGTGTTTTTATAGGGTGAGTAATACATACTGAAAGGTTGAAAATGAACATGGCTTCTGCCAAAGATGTTGATCAAGAAACCTGTTGTTTGATACTGCTCACACGTTGTCACAACATATATATATCGAGTGTCGTTCATCAGTCTAACAGTAACCGGATAGATGTGACGATTGCAAACAGAATCCATGCCCATGAGTAAGTTTCCAACGGGCGAACTTGGATAAAAATTCGATTTGTATATGTCACTGTATATGATTGCTCTATTACTCTGGATAGAAATCGTATAAAAACCACTTTCAATCACGTTCATTTGTATCGCCTCATAGAAGGATGACGAATTTAGTACACAAACAATGCGATTATATTTTAGAAGATTTTCTGTCAGTTGAGACGAATAGCTTGATTCAATAAATGGTTCTACGTCTATTCAGAAAAAGATTAAATGAAAGCCAAACAAAGTAGAAATCCTCTTTTACATAGACTTTTTTCTATCCAAAAAGTTCAACAATAGTTTCATCAACTATGTGCATGTGAGCTACTGGTCATTTTCCTAGCTATATTTGTTACAAAACGCCTTCTACTTTACACATCTCCGGTGATGAACTCAGTTTTTCTCAAAAGCCTTACTCACCCATGAGTCGAAGGTTAAGTCTATGTGAACCATAAGTGATGATTGAGAATGGACCTGTTACATTCGGATCGTATGTTGTTACAACTAGAATATATTTCATGTTGGCTTGAAGTTCAAGTGTGAATTTAAACTGATCTTTACGACAACATTTACCAAACCATGCAATTAGATTTTTCGATGGGTTAAATCGATGAAAATCATCTTTGTATACATGACCATAAAGGTCAACACTACTGTTAGCAGTGAGAATGTAGAAGTCGGTCTCATGGACAGTTACTTCTACGGCTTCGTAGTGATAGTTTCGGGGATTGAATAAGGTGCGGGAAAATCGGGGATGGCCGTTTGTTAAAACCGAAGAATACGTTGTTTGGATGGTGTATGGAACACTTACTATACAATGAACAACGATGAAAATATTTTGAGTCAACCACAGAATGCTTTTTCTGTTGGAAAAATCTCATCAAATTGTTTGAAACTTACCGCAAGAATCGTTTTGTAAATCAAATATTTGAATGCGACGATTGTACAGTTCAGAAACAAATAAGTTTCCATGAACATCAAAATTCACTTTTGTTGGTCGGATCGATTGATACATATTACTTGCAATCTTATTAAATCCAAGCAAACGTCGAAAGCCATTTGGTCCTGATGCAATTATTCGGTCATTCGTGTAGTCCGCAATGTAGAAATATTTATCCGAATCAAGTACAATGGAATAAGGTCCCCGGAGTGAAATTGTAATATCTGATGACCTGGTTCCTACTATTGTTTTTCCATCGGTTTCTCCCAAATGAAATACTTGAATTCTACTATTCATGCGGTCTGCTACATATAAATCGAGATTTGTATCGACAAAGATTCCCGTTGGACTATTCAGTTGATGAGATTCGTAGCCTGCAGTATCTACACCAGCTACAATGGTCGTCTTTGCTTCATTCAATTGTTGTTTCACAACCTTATGCGCGAGAGACATTGAACAGTACAGATTGTTCTCGATATCGATAAAAAGATCAAAACATGTTGATTCCGTATCCATTATATGAACATGTTCATTTTTATTTGCGATTCATTTCTCAATTTTTCTGTTTTCGTAACTTGTATAAATATCATCAGTATCGATCACAAATATCGCGGATAAGCTTGAATTATGTAGATATCCGATTGATTTGGGAGAAGTCTGACCTTCATGTCGAATGAGGATTTGCCTTTCTGCCTCAGAAGCAGTGTAAATTGTATTTTTCGTATTAATGAATAGAATCGGATGTCTTGTGACATTTGCTTTCTCATGAGCAAAAGTGCGCCCAGCTTCATTCCATGAGGCTGTTGGACAAAACTTTGGTTGATTATACGAAAGAGCTACAAGAAAAGGTTGTTTGTTATCAAATTTCAATAGAAATAATCACCTGATACTCCATTGATCACAAGTATCACAGCTGAAATAAAAAAAAGCATCTTGAAACGATTGCTGATTCCCGTACAAAGTTCTCAGAAAATAAATGAAATTTGTTCATAACAAGTTTTCTCGCTATTTATACATCGATCTTTCTTTCATCGTTCATATGCATCATCATTCTTCTTATGACATTCACAAATATCACACAGATATAATATTTTTCTTTCTGATTTTCATTAAAGTCATAAACACCAGGGAATAATATTCAAATATGTTCAATGTTCCAACACGACATAGATTTCAATAAATGCTCTTCTGTATTGACTGACTTTGTAACCGTTTTTCGAAAATATTTTCTTTTGAACGATCTCTTCGCTGTACATTTTTATATGTTCTACCGACATAATGATGTGATCTTTTTTTGTATTGAACGAAATTCATTCTATATCAAATCAATCTTTTTTTAATAGCAACCACTTTCTTCTATATTAGAGCACATGTCAGCAGAACTAATACATTTTTTTCAGCACTCAGGAGTGATATTTGAAATCGAGGTGATAAAGAGAAAATAAAATTTGATCCAGATGAAGAATAGGCAAAGCAAAGAGAATGGTTAATGTTAGAAATAAAAATCGTCAAGATTTGAATTGTGTAATGATTTGCTCGTAGAAATATAAATTTTTGGATAGTTCTTATAAACCAAAACAAGGAAGAAGTTATTAGGAAAACATTTCCTAATTTAATGGACATAAGTTCTTCTGGAAAAGCAAAACATATCAATGCAGTTGAGAGAAAATAATAAATAATTTGAATGTTGAGAATTTGCATAATTGCTCTATTGACAAAATTCAATCTTCGCAATTCACTGTTCCATTGAAAGATTCTCCAAAATCCCGTATGAAACAATGCAAAAGCCAAGTAGAGCTGTCCACATATGAATATCACACTCATCATCAACACTTTTCACGATTGATTGTTGTAAGTAATTTTGTAAGGTCGTTTTTGAATAATCAATTACAATTAAAGAAGAAAAGATGGTATATTCTATACATCTCCTTCGGTGACATACATTAAGAATGTAAAATCAGTCTTACTTACAATAATTTGAACGATTTCATAGTATAGTAATATGGATGATTGATTTGAGTGCGAGAATATGTTGCATGATTGTTCTTTAAAGTGGATGAATACATTCTTTGGACAATTAATGGAACATTTGCTAGATGAAAAATAGTTATCTTGTGCTTTAGAAAACACTTGACGAACCCTATACTTACCACAAGAATCTTTCAACAAATCAAACTTTTTAATTTCGGTGCCTAGTTTCTCACAGGCAAATATAATAATACAACTGTATCTGGTGAACTAAGTATAGTTGTTATATCCAGTGAACTTTGTCCTGCTACAGTTGTTCCACTTTGATCGCCTAAGCGAAACAATTGAATACGATCATTGAAAACATCTGCCACATATAAGTCAAAATTTGTATCGACGAAAATTCTTCTCGGTCCGTCCAATTCATGTGGACCAGAACCTGTAGTGTTTGTGCCAGCTACAATTATTATTTCCACCTCGTCATCGTCGTTCAATAATCTCTTCACAACTTGATCGGCATAAAACAGTGCACAATATAACCTATCATAGATATCAATAAAGAGATCATAGCATCCGAATCGATCGTCAATCACTTGCGCGAAGCTATTTGAACTTCAGACCCATTTGAAAATTCCAAGGTCGTTAGGAGAAAGATAAATATCACCAATAACTGGAATCAAACATCGAAGTAATTTCATTGTAATTTTTATAACCGATTATCATACGTCGAGGATTATCCTTAAACCACACTAAGATTTGATCTTTTTCATTAGAATAAACATAACCGGTATTGATCGTATCAATAAACAGCTGTACACCTTCAATTCCAACTGTCTTCCAATCGGTATATATCAACCCACCTAGATTCCATTTGACCGTTGGACACAATTTCGGTTGATTCACCGAAAGACCTTTTGAATCAAATAAAATATATGTAAAAATCAAGATTTCTGTTTCTCTAAGCAAAAATGCTTACTTGATATTTCAGTGGACAGTATTATCAAAAAACCTAGTCGTATTTTGGGATTCTACCGTTTAGCAATACTTAGTTAAATATAAACAACGGAGACGGAAAAAATGAAACTATACAATGGCTCATAATTTCTTTGATGTTGTAAATCAATAAATGTTTTTCGTATCATCATTTCTTTTTTGCAAATGCAATTTAATCATGCACATAGAAGCACAGAATAAATATTGTACGATATGAATTTATGCTCAAATAGTAAAATGATTTTTAATAAAGAAGAAATGATTGATTGGAATACAAATTCCTTATCTGGTTTTATATGTTAATTATTATTAGCTGACTGATTCTGTATTCTATGGGGTGATGCCGAACGGATCACCTATAACTAATTTGATAGCGTTATTATGTGTGACGTTGCCATACTGCGACATCCATCAACAATACGCATTGTAATGGTTAAAGATACAAACCCGACGATAAGAAAACTGTTTCGATTAAAATACATTGGTTGTAGATATTCAACCAATTGTTCGTATCCAATAATATTAAAGAACGGTGAATAAGGTAGATGATATTATGTACAATATATACTTCTTCGTTGGAAATTTCCGAACGGATCGATACAGAAATGGACTTGTTTTTCATTTATTTGACTCTTACTATCTGTTATTGTGTTTGTCATCATTCGATATAAAAGTTCATTCAATGATGACTAATCGAATTTTACGAGGTCGGTATTGCATTGGAGATTCGATTGCTGTTTGGTACAATCCAGCAGAGAATACTGAGTAAGTATGTTTACAATGAACGTCGTGGAACTCTGAAATATTTCTGGTTAGATACGACCCAATGATTGAAAGTTGTTTTCTTGAAATCTATTTGTTCCACAATCAAGAACAAATGACCGAATTTATCCATACAATAGTAACCGAACGGATCTTTTTAATTTTATTCGATGATTCTAATGAAGATTTAATAAAAACTATTCATGATTTAAAACAAATTGCTGCGATCTATAATCTGAGTAAAACCAAGTTATCCGACGGAACGGAGAATTTATTTCGAAAATTTCAAGGCAATTTCGATTCTATTGAGAATCTTTGTCGATCAATGCGGAAATATAAACGACAAACAGCAAACAGTCAAACAAAAATGACGATTTCTAAACTGAACGATAATGAAATTGAACCAGCATTCATTTACGCTAAATTACTAACAGAGATTCTTTTAAAATTTGATTATACTGACGATGATAAAAACAATTTTGTTGAATATGTTAAATCTCAGTGTCCAAACAGTAATAGTGTACAGAATATTATACAAAAACTTTAAGATGAGGAAAATTATTCAGCGATCTTGTGTTATACATGTGAATCTAATCTTCATTCAATGATACTATTCGAAATAAAAAGGAAGAAAGAGTAGAAGCTACTGTATAGATGTGGTCGTGGTGACTGCAGCAATGCTCAATGATATTGAAACTTAATAAAGGATTCTAACGCTGTAATGAAAGTATCAGATAGAAGGCCTGGGGGAGAATGTTTTTCGTATATTTTTAAGAGTATACCAGCTTGTCCACGTAAAGTAACACTTCGCTGATCAAGTTTCGAAAAAATATTTTTTCGAGTTAGCAAAGTTTGAATAGATTAATGGTTGTAGTTTTTAACGCTGTTTACGAATTCGATGTCCGTTTTGTATAAAANGGGAATACTTTCGATACTGATTGGTCGTAGCCCTGATAATACAAATGAGAAAATACAAAAGAAAGCTGTTCGTGTGATATATAATGTTACACGTCTATCATCAGAACAAACAAAGTATTCATTGAACAGAATTTCATTTGCATTTGAATGATTTGTTATTTTCATCGACAGATATATCGTTGATCAAGGAGCAATTCCAGCGTTGTGTTTTCAATTAAATACACAAACAAGTGACATTGTTTTGATGAGTTTAGAAAATATTCTTCAATGGGGAGCAAAAGAAAGTCAACAAACGAATAAACATAATCCATATGCAATTATAATGCAAGATTTACATGGTTTGTAGAAAGAAATTGAGTAAATCTGAAATTATTTTCTATGATATTTTTAGTCTTGAAAGATATTGAAACGCTTCGAACTCATACGGATATTGAAATTGCGACGAAATCTTCTCGACTAATTCAAACATACTTTGATGGTTTATGAAATTTGATTTTGTTGAGAGTGAGGAGGCATGTTCTCATAGATAGGTTTCGTTTGTTGTTATTTAAATCAAGTAAATGATATCATTTGTTAGAATGAAGTCTTATCTCTTTCAAAGTCAACTGTTGAAATGTTAACAAGAGATGAATTTTCTTCTGTAAAAAACGAAACATTGATCGTTTATAATTGTCATATGACTCTGGATCGAAAATCTGTTTTTTTGGAACGTTTACTAACTGAACTATTTCATGCGTTATTCGAATATCTTTGGGCTCATGAAATTTTTCATTCATTTTTCAATCTCAATTATAGAATTAATTTTCAATTCATCCGAAAATCGATCTTTCATTTGATTTGTAAACAAAGTCGACCTGAACAAGTAATTTCATTGACATTTTCTGATCAGAACGGCACACCGCGCGAACCAATCTCGAGTATTTTTTATCTTATTTCTATATTGAACAGTTTACAAATGTTCGATCACTTTCATCGATAAGAATTCAAGGTGAATCGTTATATGAAATTTTGTCAGTTTTATCACAACTGAAACAATTACATTGTTTGACATTCGATGATTCAGGTGGACGAGGAGCTTCTGTTCGAATGACTGACGAAAGCACAGAACGAGATATGAACTATTTCCTTTTACCGCAATCTTATCCTGAAATTCTTCCTCAATTGAAATCTTTGTCGACATATCATTCTATTGAATTAACATCGATTCATTTTCTAAATTTACTCCGATTAACATTGAATTCTTATTCATTACAACACAATATCAATGCAGTTCTTCAACATGTACCTCACCTTCGATCTTTGACCTTATCTCTCGTATACATTCACGGATTTGACTCAATTCAAGCATGCTATCAAATACAACAATTGAGAGTAATAATTCCTAGCAAGATTCTATCCTGAAAATGAGATCATCTATTTTTCCTTCTCAAAATACGATTCCAATATTGGATAGAGCAATGTCTATGGATGATATTGAACAGTTTCTACAAACTTTTCCGATTTGAACTTATTTGGAAACCAAAGATGTGTCCGAACGTGCTGATGGCTATCGATGGGAAATGCTTATACAACGGTTAGATTCATTCGACTTCATCTTCCATGTCACAAATTACCTAACAGAACAAAACTTCATATCTTATGTTTTCAATGGTCTATTGATAAATTTTCTCTATCAAATCAGCGAAACGTTGAATGAAATCAAATATGTACATTGAAATTTGGATTCTCGACTTTTTGGCAACACACTATTTATGATTTGGATAAATTAAAGCATTTATTTCCACGTGTTGAACATATTAATAAATGGTTTATTAAATCTCGATCCGAGATGATTTCTTTCATTGATAAATTTAAACGATTAACGAGTATTTCATTTGCTGTTGAAATTCCGGTGAACGACTCAGCAAAAATCTTCAGAATTTGATTCCGAATTAATGATTCAAGATATCAGACAATGAATTAGATGTTCTGCTACCTGTCGAATTGATTTCTCGGCAGATGTTGTTGATCCTTTCGAATATATTCATCTATGGCTTGGAGAACGAGTAAGAAATTCGAATGTCATTTGTTTTCAACATGCTCTTCTTATTCTTAGACATCAAATCCAATTTTATCGAATAAACAAAAACAATCTCGATTTGAATCTTCTCAGAATAAAATGAACTTATTTGGACTCAAGGATAAACGTGTAAATCTGTTAGGTCTCATTACGATAATATTCAGTTATTACATGAATCCTATGATGAAGAATAATTGCTTTCAATTTCATTTTTGTCTGTCGTTTCCTATTGAAATTTTCGCCAGTTATCTACTTGCTGTGTGATTTATCATAAGGTTTTCAATAGTGTGAAATCTATTCGTATTTTTGCTTTTCTAATTTTCATTTGGTGTGTGATAACAAAACTCAAATTTCTCTAGTTGATAAAAAATGTGGAGTCAACGATTCGTAAAAGAGTGGCTTTAATTCGTTCACTTAGATTATTTGGATGTTCTAGTTCTCATCTTCGAAAAGTTCATTTCTACTCATACGTATTGCCTATTTTTACTTGGATCTATCCCATATATCCTCTTTTAACTCGCACACAACAAGAAAAATTCTCTAAGTTCTATTATACATCTCTTTGTCGTACGCTTTATTGTCTTCAATGGAATGAAATCTTCTTTGCACATATACTAGATGAATTGTCATTAGAAGATAGGTACGCTGCATATTGGAATAGATATATTGTTGCACTTTCAAATTCTACTGATGGTTTGCTTCGCGTCGAGAAAACTAATCTGAGTGAATTTCGTAAAAGTTGATTAAATAGAGAGTTTTCTATGAAAGGATTAAGAACATGAAAAAGATTTGTTCCTCATCTATCTATCTTGGAAAAGGTTGTATCATGGCTATCTTCTATTCCTCATTATGATCTTGATGACGTTCTATTGTTACAGCATTTTCCTAATACTTTTTGCTAAAACTGTTGTTTTCTTTTCCTTTTTAATTTTCTCGTGATTTTTCTTCATGTTCTATGTATTTCTTTCTTTTGTTGATTTCTTTGTGGTGTATTATTCACGTGTTTTCTTTTGTATTTTCTATTTTGTTTTTTTTGCACTTGGCGAGTTCACTGTTATCTTGCATTTTTAGGATCATCTGATCACAGTTTTCAGCAGAATGAAAAAAAAAGATTCAAATTTCTCTTGATTAAATAAGAACATCCATTGATATGTGTCAATGAGGGCAAACAAATATAGTTCGATTTCGTAATTTGAATCACTGAAATTGATAACATTTGCGAGAGCTGACAAGGACGAATTGTCTTGTATTTTCTTATCAAAGGTCAAAATAACGAAATAAAAAGCCATCGAGTTCGTGTATATCAATAGTTTACTAAGAGAATGATGATAATTGTGCACTCAGTGACACTGGATTTCTTTTCTATTTTTATTGGAATTCTCATCGGTGTGATATCGTTCATCTTCATCTTCGGATATCATTGCAAACGTCATTCATCGATCGTTGAAAGATCCTCATCTCTTCATTGGAATCCACTAGTCGAACGGCGAGGGCTCGGTAATTTGATCACAAGATTAAATCACATCGCGATAACAGTGTATGATGTTGGTCGATCTGTTAGTTTTTATGTCGATGTGTTGGGATTTCAACAAATTCGTCGTCCAAGTTTTGATCGACATGGTGCGTGGTTAACGATGGGAAATGTTGAACTTCATTTAATTAAAGGAATTCCAGCAATTCCATCTGTTGATAATCTTCAAGTCAATCATTTGGCGTTTGAAACATCAAATCTCAATGAAGTTTTAATCCAACTTCATCGATTGAAGATTGAAATTCGACAAAATTTATCTGTAACGAATGCGCATCGATTAATTTCCGAAGGAAAACCTGTAGTAACTCAATATTTCTTCAAAGATCCTGACGGATATTCGATTGAATTGTGTAATTGTGATGTTTTAGAAGAATTCTCATTTGATTTTAAATTAGAAAAGAAATCAATGAATGGTGAAGAAAGATTTGATCATAAACGAACATTTTTTGTCATTTATTGTGTTTCACGTTGGAAAAGAAAAGTTCAACGAAGTTTGAAAGAAGAAATGAAGAAAAGAATTTGTTATTCAAATGAAGTTGATAAAACCAAATTGAGAAATTTAATTGAACGACGAACAATTTACGGTGATTTCATTCAAAATTTCGATGAAAAAGATATTTGTGATGCATTAATTCAATCAAATAACATTGTTCCATTGGCTCTTCGATGTCTTCTTGCAAAACGAGGTGAACAAATATGTCTTCGTCCAAGTTCGTTTCTTCATCAAGGAAAATTATTTCATCCGAAACCATTTACAATCAATCGACTTTCTTCATCAACACTCAGCGACCTTTTTTCCTCCAATATCGTTGAATGCTGATATTATACAATTGTGTCGATTTTCTCTTGTCATTTGAAGAGATGAGTTGTCTGTTGAATAAATTTCTTTATAAAGTTCTTCATTGTATTTTGGATTGTTTTCATTTCGCTGGTCTTTTTCTATTCATTTGATCGAATCAATTCTGAACTCGATAAAATTCTCCGTTCATATCAACGAATTCGATTGAATTTGACTTCAATTCGTAAATCGTCGATGAGATCGACTCATGTAACAAAATTTAATCGTGCGAAACAACAGATCTTTCGCGAATTCTTCGATTTGTACCCAATTTACCACATTTCAATGTTTGTTTTTCATCTGGACAAATGTCAACCATTGATTATTTTCCATCACGATTGAAATCTTTACAAATCAAATAAAAAATTTGGGTTTTATTCGAAGATTTAGAAAATCTTCTTCCATTTGTTTCTTCTCTTCAATCTTTTCTCTTAGAAACCAATGGTGAACATTCTTTACTCAATGGAAAACCTTAATCAAAAGAAAAATACAAAATTTCAAAGACTTTCACATTGATATTTCAGTTGATGAAGTTTTAAAAGAATTTCAAAATTCATTTTGGATTAATAAAAAACATCGTGACATCAGTTGTCTTATTCATCATCAACTCAATCGTGTGTTCGAATCTTTTCTCTTCCTGCTTTTTCACCTCGTTATTATTGGTTTCCATCAACATTACAAAGAATTAAACATCGCGGATTTTTTTCAATGCAATTCAATTTTTTCACCTTTTTCTCAAATTGAAACTTTGATTTTACAATGTTCAGTTCCAAAAATTGAGACATTGAGATCTGTGGTGAATCTTTTTACCAGTGAAACATTTGAAAATTCAACAGCAAATCTCAACGAATCGACTTTGAAAAGTTCGTCTTTACTCAAGTTTAATGATTATCATCTATTGGAAAATATCATTTATGAACAAATCAAATGTTTGACAATAATAAATATAATCGATGGAAATGATTTGAAGGAAATCAGTCAATTATTTCCAAAAATTGAACGAATTACTTTGACTGGGAAGGAACGAGATGAAATTCTTCCAATTCTAACTCAACTGCAATATTTAATCAGTACAAAGATTCAATGAACTCATCCAATGAAAACACTTGCGGAAATTATCGACAAATATCTACAAATGAATCAGAGTTTTAGTAACACTGTGAGTGTGCATCTTTAACATTTCAATAAATATTCCTTTTCATCATCGATATTCTGATTTGAAAATGATTTTTTACAATTCTTTTATGAATACAACTCGACAGTACTGTTCGATCCACCGAGTAAGAAAATCTAAAGATCAGTTTGTCGAAGAAGAAAAGTTCCTAGTTGAGTATCTTGATGAAGAGTAAAAAGCTAATAAAGAGGTTATATTTATAATTTAAAAAAAACCATTTCTTATCACAATCAGACAAATGTTATTCACCTTAACACAGTTAAGATCCATTAATGTCTTCAAACATGTCGATTCGACATAGATTTTCTTCTCAAAGAAATAATGAAGAGAAAACATCGATCATCAACAATTGTGAAGAACGAGTAAGTACAAATCTTTCCGAAGATCTCAGATCGATTTCGATGATTATTTAATTATCAAACAGTGTCTCTTCTGCTTATCAACGACCAAGATTTGAATATTTGCGATATAAATTACAAGAAATGTTTATATCTAAACTTACCCATAAGAATTTGGGTACTTTGTTGGTGTCAATAAATGCTATTTACACAAATCCAATTATGGATAACATTGTATTTTTGCGATATCCAATAAATCCTTGGTTTGCTTTTTTATTAAAATTTTTCTAAGTTATATCATTTCTTGTATTATTTACCATAAGGTTTTCAAAGATCGCAAATCTTTTCTTCGTTTTGCTTTAATAAGTTCGCTTTTTACCCTGATTTTTTCGTTTATGATCCAACGGATTTAGTTCGATGGACATAATCATATCATTTCTAATCAAATTCACTTTCGAAGTCATTGTTAAGTCTTTGTTCAGTGTTACTTACACATATTTATTATTTTTAATTATAAACATACAACGAAGGTCCTTTTGTCACTGATTGAATTACATCGACATCGGATATGATTTATTGTATTGATCAATTCGCACATTTATCGAATATTTCATTTTTAATCAATGAATCAGTAAGACAAAAATCAAAAGATCAATTGAATTTTGATTTAATTATTAATGAAATTAAAAAATTCACAAATATATTATCTGCCAGTATACGTTCATTTACGGCTTGAGGGTGGGTGTGAGTATAGATATTATTGAATGGTATGACAATGAATTCAACGTGAAATATTTAAATTTAGTGAGATTTTCCCAGCAGAACTAATTGGTACATTACCGCTTTTTGCGGTTCTAGACTTTGCAAAGCAGGAATTTCTGTATGTTAGACCTTTGTATGCTTTCATTGCTGATTGCGTCAGAATTCATACTTTCTTACATCATTGCTCGTTATTTTATTCGTAATTTTTTTATTAAAAAATTTAATTTTCTTTTCGTATGTCTATGGTTCTTGTATTTTAATTCTGTGATAACAACTTTTAAATTTGATTAGATCGTCGTTTTCTTCGACAAAGTCGAAAGAATGATTCTTTGAAAGTTTTTCGATACAAGTCCGATGGAATAACGAATAAAATAAAAAAGAGTACCGATGGTAGAAATGAGATAAAATAAGCGCAAAGATATAACCACAAATGATTAGTGACATTCACACATCCAGATAATAATGAAATGATCAGACGTGGTGTTGAGAGAAGAAGGAGAATCATAGGACTAATGACAAGGTGTTTGTGTTCTTTCCATTGTTCGCGAACATGTTTTCTATACGACTGTTGTTTTTGAACTTCTGCTCGTCGTCGTGCACTTCGGATAATGATGAATAAGGCACAACAAAAATTGGCAATGAATGGACCGAGAAGATGAATAAATAGAATGACTGTGTTATAATTTTCAATCGATTGAGAATAAGAAGTTGTACACCAAGTATCCGTACTTATTACATTAACATCTAGTGGCACTTTATACCATGGGTCGATGAATCTTTCTTCCTTGTCTTCATAAGAAAACATGTGACGATATAAAGGTTCATGGATGACTGTGGCACTGATACAATTCGGTAAAATGAATATGATCCATCGCGCGAAACGTTTACTTTTTTCTTTATCAAAACTCACTCCTTTGTAAACATTCACAGCACGTTCAACGGCAATACATGCATTCAACCATGCATCCCAATAGAAGAAAAGTTTGAGAAGAGTTTCAATCGATTTGCAACCACCTTGAAGAACCGATAGATCAATGGAGACGTTTGTTTGTGTGATAACAACAAACCAAAACTTGATGGCGAACATTGTAATTGTTAAAAAAGAAGTAATTGATGATGCTAGAAGATACAGTCCACATCCGACTGTTCGTAAATTTCCATTTTGAAAAGTTAAAAGCGAGAAAGCACTACTAATGACACCAACAAAAAGCATAATCGTTGTTAAAGCAGCACTGATTTTGATAACGAGTGGTTGATCATTTATTGTCATATTTCGTTTCAGTTCAAGACGCAGAATATCATCGAGAGTTAAACCAATGCCTTTAACTTGGCGCTCACATAGACCACCAACATGACAATAAGCTGAATTATCAACTAAAAAGATTATTCATGATTATGAGATGTGAAGTTAGTACGACGAAATAAAGAATCATATCGAACTTCACATAAAAATGAATCCATTCGATGCAGAATCAAATTTTGCAATGAATGGGCTCGTTTCTATGTACAGTTTTATGCAGTCCTTCATTTCTTAGTGCTATGATTTCTGATCGATTTCAAGATTATACTAGTACTCACTAAAGCGTTCAAATGTGACATCTGCTGGTCCAGATACTGTAATCGATATCGATAATGTCTCCAATGGTTTCATAGTTGTCACAAGTAATATGTATGTAGTGTTAGCTTGAAGCTCAGCTAAAAGAGTTATCTGAGGAAGAATTGCACAGCCCAAAGCCCTGTATTTTACAAGATTTTCCCTTGGATTCCACAGATTAAATTGATTTTTGTAAATGAACATCTCTATACGTTGATCGACGTCGCCTACAAAAGTATAGTATGCAGTCGTGAATATAGTTAGTCGCACAGTTTCATAGTAGTAATAGCGGTTCACGCACCACTTATTATATGTGGGATTAACTACTGTTAAGTTTGAAGAATATTTTGAATGAATAATCGGTGAAATATCTATTAAAAAGAGTAATCAGTTACAGGTTGTGATATGAAAAGATTTTTGTTTTTATAGGGTGAGTAATACATACTGAAAGGTTGAAAATGAACATGGCTTCTGCCAAAGATGTTCATCCAGAAACCTGTTGTTTGATTCTTGTAAGACGTTGCCATAACATATATATATCGAGTGTCGTTCATCAGTGTAACAGTAACCGGATCGATGTGACGATTTTCAACAGCATCCCAGTCCATGAGTAAGTTTAGGAGGGGCAAACTTGGATAAAAATTCGATTTGTATATGTTACTGTATGTGTTTGCTCTATTACTCCGGATATAAATCGTATAAAAACCACTTTCAATCACGTTCATTTGTATCGCCTCATAGAAGAATGTCGGCACTGATGAACAAAAGGGATCATATGTTGGAAGCTTTTCTGTCAGTTGAGACGAATGAATTGATTCAATAAATGGTTCAACATCTACTCAGAAGAAGATTAAATGAAAGTCAAACAAAGTAGAAGTTCTCTTTTAGGCTGATTTTTCTTCTATTCAAATTCAACCATAGTTTCATCACCTACGAACACGTGAACTTCTAGTCCTTTTCCTAGCTACCCTTGTTGCAAAACGCCTTCTACTTTACACATTTCCGATGATGAACTCAGTTTTTCTCGAAAGTCTTACTCACCCATGAGTCGAAGGTTAAGTGGATGTGAACCATAAGTGATGATTGAGAATGGACCTGTTACTTTCGGATGGTATGTTGTTACAACTAGAATATATTTCGTGTTGGCTTGAAGTTCAAGTGTGAATTTAAACTGATCTTTACGACAACATTGCCCAAACCATGCAATTAGGTTTTTCGATGGATCAAATCGATGAAAATCATCTTTGTATACATGACCATAAAGGTCAACACTACTGCTAGCAGTGAGAATGTAGAAGTCGGTCTCATGGACAGTTATTTCTATGGCTTCATAGCGATAGGTGAAGTCGTGGAATAAGTTGCGGGAAAATCGGGGATGTTCGTTTGTTAAAACCGAAGAATACGTTGTTTGGATGATGGATGGAACACTTACTATACAATGAACAACGATGAAAATATTTTTGAGTCAACCACAGAATGCTTTTTCTGTTGGAAAAATCTCATCAAATTGCTTGAAACTTACCACAAGAATCTTTTTGTAAATCAAATATTTGAATTCGACGATTGTCCAGATCAGAAACAAATAAGTTTCCATGAACATCAAAACTCACTTTTGTTGGTCCAAACGGTGCATGGACGACGACAGAACAACGAGGGCACTTATTCAGAGAGGGTTTAAACAAACGTCGAAAGCCATTGGGTCCTGATGCAATTATTCGGCGATTATCGTATTCCGCAATGTAGAAATATTTATCCGAATCAAGTACAATGGAATAAGGTCCCCGGAGTGAAATTGTAATATCTGATGAATCGTCTCCTACTATTGTTTTTCCATCGGTTTCGCCCAAATGAAATAATTGAATTCTATTATTCATGCGATCTGCTACATATAAATCGAGATTTGTATCAACAAAGATTCCCGTTGGACTATTCAGTTGATGAGATTCGTAGCCTGCAGTATCTACACCAGCTACAATGGTCGTCTTTGCTTCATTCAATTGTCGTTTCACAACTTTATGTGCGAGAGACATTGAACAGTACAGATTGTTCTCGATATCGATAAAAAGATCAAAACATGTTGATTCCGTATCCATTATATGAACATATTCATTTTTATTTGCGATCCATTTCTCAATTTTTCTGTTTTCGTAACTTGTATAAATATCATCAGTATCGATCACAAATATCGCGGATAAGCTTGAATTATGTAGATATCCGATTGATTTGGAAGAAGTCTGGCCTTCATGTCGAATGAAGATTTGCCTTTCTGCCTCAGAAGCAGTGTAAATTGTATTTTTCGTATCAATGAATTGAATGGGATGTCTTGTGACATTTGCTTTCTCATGAGCAAAAGTGCGGCTAACTTCATTCCATGAGGCTGTTGGACAAAGCTTTGGTTGATTATACGAAAGAGCTACAAGAAAAGGTTGTTCGTTGTCAAATTTGAATAGAAATAATCACCTGATACTCCATTGATTACAAATATCACAGCTGAAATAAAAAGCATCTTGAAACGATTGCTGATTCCCGTACAGAGTTCTCAGAAAATAAATGAAATTTGTTCATAACAAGTTTTCTCGCTATTTATACATCGATCTTTCTTTCATCGTTCATATGCATCATCATTCTTCTTATGACATTCACAAATATCACACAAATATAATATTTTTCTTTCTGATTTTCATCAAAGTCATAAACACCAGGGAATAATATTCAAATATGTTCAATGTTCCAACACGACATAGATTTCAATAAATACTCTTCTGTATTGACTGACTTTGTAACCGTTTTTCGAAAATATTTTCTTTTGAACGATCTCTTCGCTGTACATTTTTATATGTTCTACCGACATAATGATGTGATCTTTTTTTGTATTGAACGAAATTCATTCTATATCAAATCAATCTTTTTTTAATAGAAAACACTTTCTTCTATATTAGAGCACATGTCAGCAGAGCTAATACATTTTTTTCAGCACTCAGAAGTGATATTTGAAATCGCGGTGATAAAAAGAAAATAACATTTGATCCAGGTGAAGAATAGGCAAAGCAAAGAGAATGGTTCCTATTAGAAATAAAATTGTCAAGATATGAATTGTGTAATGATTTGCTCGTAGAAATATAAATTGTTGGATAGTTCTTATAAACCAAAACAAGGAAGAAGTTATTAGGAAAACATTTCCTAATTTAATGGACATAAGTTCTTCTGGGAAAGCAAAACATATCAATGCAGTTGAGAGTTTGCATAATTGCTCTATTGACAAGATTCAATCTTCGTAATTCACTGTTCCATTGAAAGATTCTCCAAAATCCCGTATGAAACAATGCAAAAGCCAAGTTGAGCAGTCTACATATGAGTATCACACTCATCATCAACACTTTTCACGATTGATTGTTGTAAGTAATTTTGTAAGGTCGTTTTTGAATAATCAATTACAATTAAAGAAGAAAAGATGGTATATTCTATACATCTTCTTCTGTGACATACATTAAGAATGTAAAATCAGTCTTACTCGCAATAATTTGAATGATTTCATAGTATAGTAATATGGACGATTGATTTGAGCCCGAGAATATGTTGCATGATTGTTCTTTAAAGTGGATGAATACATTCTTTGAACGATTGATGGAACATTTACTAGATGAAAAATAGTTATCTTGTGCTTTAGAAAACACTTGACGAACCCTATACTTACCACAAGACTCTTTCAACAGATCAAACTTTTTAATTTCAGTGCCTAGTTTCTCACAGGCAAATATAATAATACAACTGTATCTGGCGAACAAAGTATAATTGTTATATCCAATGAACTTTGACCGCCTAAACGAAACAATTGAATACGATCATTGAAAACATCTGCTACACATAAGTCAAAATTTGTATCGACGAAAATTCTACTCGGTCCGTCCAATTCATGTGGACCAGAACCTGTAGTGTTTGTACCAGCTACAATTATTATTTCCACCTCGTCATCGTCGTTCAATAATCTCTTCACAATTTGATCGACATAAAATAGTGCACAATATAACCTATCATATATATATCAATAACAAGATCAAAGCATCCGAATCGATCGTCAATCACTTGCGCGAAGCTATTTGAACTTCAGACCCATTTGTAAATTCCAAGGTCGTTAGGAGAAAGATAAATATCACCAATAACTGGAATCAAACATCGAAGTAATTTCATTGTCATTTTCATAACCAATTATCATACGTCGAGGATTAACCTTAAACCACACTCAGATTTGACCTTTTTTATTAGAATAAACATAAACGGTATTGTTCGTATCAATAAACAGCTGTACACCTTCAATTCCAACTGTCTTCCAATCGGTATATATCAACCCACCTAGATTCCATTTGACCGTTGGACACAATTTCGGTTGATTCACCGAAAGACGTTTTAAATCAAATAAAATATATGTAAAAATCAAGATTTCTGTTTCTATAAGCAAAAAAATGCTCATCTGATATTTCAGTGAACAGTATATTATCAAAAAACCTAGTCGCATTTTGGGATTCTATCGCTTAGCGATCCTAAGTTAAATATAAACAACGGAGACGGAAAAAATGAAACTATACGATGGCTCATAATTTCTTTGATGTTGTAAATCAATCAATGTTTTTCATATCATCATCAGTATTTCTTTTTCCAAATGCAATTTAATCATGCACATAGGAGCACAGAATAAATATTGTACGATATGAATTTATGCTGAAATAGTAAAATGACTTTTAATAAAGAAGAAATGATTGATTGGAATACAAATTCCGTATTTGGTTTTATTTGTTAATTATTATTAGCTGACTGATTCTGTATTCTGTGGGGTGATGCCGAACGAATCACCTATAACTAATTTGATAGCGTTATTATGTGTGACGTTGCCATACTGCGACATCCATCAACAATACGCATTGTAATGGTTAAAGATATAAACACGACGATAAGAAAACTGTTTCGATTAAAATACATTGGTTGTAGATATTCAACCAATTGTTCGTATCCAATAATATTAAAGAACGGTGAATAATGTAGATGATATTATGTACAATATATACTTCTTCGTTGGAAATTTCCGAACGGATCGATACAGAAATGGACTTGTCTCTTCATTTATTTGACTCTTACTATCTGTAATTGTGTTTGTAATCATTCAATATAAAAGTTCATTCAATGATGACTAATCGAATTTTACGAGGTCGGTATTGCATTGGAGATTCGATTGCTGTTTGGTACAATCCAGCAAAGACTACTGAGTAAGTATGTTTATAATGAACGGCGTGAAACTCTGAAATATCTCTGATTAGATTCGATCCAATGATTGAAAGTTGTTTTCTTGAAATCTATGTGTTCCACAATCAAGAACAAATGATCGAATTTATCCATACAATAGAAACTGAACGGATCTTTTTAATTTTATTCGATGATTCTAATGAAGATTTAATAAAATCTATTCATGATTTAAAACAAATTGCTGCGATCTATAATCTGAGTAAAACCAAGTTATCCGACGGAACGGAGAATTTATTTAGAAAATTTCAAGGCAATTTCGATTCTATCGAGGATCTTTGTCGATCAATGCGGAAATATAAACGACAAACAGCAAACAGTCAAACAAAAATGACGATTTCTAAACTGAACGATAATGAAATTGAACCAGCATTCATTTACGCTAAGTTACTAACGGAGATTCTTTTAAAATTTGATTATACTGACGATGATAAAAACAGTTTTGTTGAATATGTTAAATCTCAGTGTCCAAACAGTAGTAGTGTACAGAGTATTATACGAAAACTTCAAGATAAGGAAAATTATTCAGCGATCTCGTGTTATACATGTGAATCTAATCTTTATTTAATGTTGAATGGCGCATTACGAAATCAAGACATTGATGTTATTCATAAACTTGGTTTTTTCATTCGTGATTTACATGAGCAACTTCGTCAGATACAAAGTCAGTCATCTCAAGAACCTCCAAAGGTTCTTTACCGTAGTCAAAGGTAATTAAAACATTTTTCTCTCTATACAAATAAAAACAAAAGACTTTTTAGTCTCAGTCCTGCTGATTTTCAACGAATTCAATCAACACAAAATGGGATTATATCATTTCATCAATTCCTTTCGACGACTCGGGATGAAAATTATGCACGTTTTCTAACGGAAAGTGCAGCCACGAGTGTTGAATCAGTAGGAATTCTTTTTCAAATGAACATTACTGGGAGTATTAATGATATACCATTTGCTTCGATTGATGAAATAAGTAATTTTGGATCCGAGGAAGCGGAAGTCCTGTTTTCCATGAATACGATTTTTCGTATTGGTCAAATTGAATATCTAGGGCCGAATTTCTATCGAATTCATTTAACTTTAGTTAATAATGAAGATCAAGAAATACAGCAGCTGATTCAATATCTCCGAGAAGAAATTACTATGCAAGATAATCATCTGTGTAGTTTTGGTCAACTAACATTGCGTATGCAAGAGTGGCCGAAAGCGATTGAAATTTATGAAAGTATACTGAAGAATGCCATTGATAATCAACAGACAGGAAATATGGCACATGCCTACCACCAATTAGGATATATTGATTATCATTTGAATAAGTTGGAGACTGCGTTGGATTATCTACAGAAGTCACTGACTATCTACAAGAAATATGGGAAAATGTATGCATCTGCCATGGCTGATACCTATTCAATGATTGGTCAGGTGCAGTTCGAACAAAAGAAAGATTTAGAGAAGGCATTGGAAAATATTCAACACGCGTTAGAAATACGAAGAAAACAGTATAACACAGAGCCTCAGGTAAAATGCAAAAGAACTATGATGTTCAATTTGATTTGATAATTAAATTTTTTTTGTAGACACTGGCGAAGAATTACACTCAAATCGGTGAAACACTTCTATATCTTCAACGTCGCGATGATGCTTTAGATAATCTAAAAGAGGCTTTGAAAATCCAAGATACTTTGCCTAAGTATCATATGGATTTAGCTTCAACCTACAGCACTATCAGTCATGTTCATCACGATAGAAAAAATTATGAAGAAAGTCTTGATTACTGTAGAAAGGCGCTTGATATCTATACGCGTTGCCTGCGTCCCAATCATCCTAATTTGGCTGTTGTTCACGACAATATGGCCAATAATTTAGGTCATTTACGTAATTTTAACGAAGCTATCTCTCATGCCAACAAAGCCATTAATATCTCTCTCTCGTACCTTCCAGTTGATCACGAAGATGTTATAAAACGACAACAAACTCTTCGTACACTAGAAACTGCACAACAATATCAGCAACAGCAGCAGCAAACCACAGCGCATTCGCAATAACACATCAAAGAAATATCGGTTATACACGGTGTTTTTCACTCGATCTTTTGTATTAGTAATCAGAGCTAAATCCGAGAGTGTGCATGATTAACTGATAGTATTTGTTCTTTATCCTCACGCCCTCATTCATTTTAAAGTTGCATACTGACTGTATGAAAACAGATGCACTATTGAACTATATTTTCAATAAAACTGGAATGCTTAAAATAGTTTTGTAAATATCCAAAATACATTCAGCACATTTTTCAAGTTAATAATGAGCCTTTCTTGTTATAAATTCATTCATATTTCATTTCGTGTAAGAATTTTTATTTTATTTTCATGAAACGCTTTATGATTTGCAAGAAGTTTTTAATATGGAGCAGTCGAAAAGAAAAACAACAACTGATCTTCAGGTCCCAAAATTCTTCGCCATTGTTTCTGGTAATTATCGTTCGTATTCATCAAGTCCTTCATATTTTAATAAGTTTACAGGACGACTCGGTGGTTTCGATAAAATATCGCCATCGTCACAAACATGAAATTCCCAATTACGAACTGGACAATGAACATGATCAAATGGATAATCGACTTCAAGCACTTTACCATTGTGCTTCTTCACTTTAATATGTGTCACAATCTTGACCCATTTGCAATACGAATCAGGTAAATCTGGTTGAAATAAACGACGAGGAAAAAATTTTTCATCATTCGCTGGAATAGTGACATGAACATCTTCATTGAATTTGTCTTCACCTGGACGACCATCATAGTGAACCATACATTCTACAGGATGTTGCGTACGATTAACGACAAAACAGGAATAAACATGAGGTGGTGCTCGAGGCATTTTAAATGGCGGTTGCAAAGTTTGGTCTGATTCGTTGATTGTACTTTCTGACGACATCGTTATTTGAAAGAAATTAGGTATCACTTGCAACTACTTGCCTAGAAGAGAGATAAATGAGGTGAGTTTATTTCATCTGAGATTGTAGATAAGGATGATGATGATGCATGTTTGATGTATTTTCAAGTAAGCTCATAAATCATTCATTGATCATAAAAACCATCAACACGATGATAGTGCAAAATCTCAGCAAGATTTACGACTTTTTCTCTTCGTTTTGAGACGGCAATAAATGCAATAATTCAATCGTTTGTTCTTAAACCCGAAAAAGAAATGTTTTCATAATCACTATACTTTTTCTATCAAGGACAACTAGTTTCTAACTGAAATCATTTCGTTTAAAACATGTCCCTAGAAAATCCTACAAATTCGAACGATATTCAGCACAAGGTACGCCGACTCTGGTGTTCTCTGTTACATCTAGACAGCGTTTCTAGTGAAGATTCTATAACGTGGTTCGCGTTGGGTGGTTCATCTTTGACTTTGATGGAACTTTTCAGTCGCTATCAATCCGACTTAAGTCCGCATCGACAGCTCAATCTATCGGATTTTTTGATACAACCAACTATCATTCAACATGTTCGTTTACTCACGACAAACGACGCAGCATTAAATCATGCAAATCAAAGCAAAGTTAATAATTCTGCTTCACAACTCGTGTTTATCGTAACGCCTGGTTCATCCCTTTCTCTTCAACGTCTTAATTGTGCATTGACACTCCTCATCAGCAAACATCCAACATTGCGTACCCCACTACATCAATGTAATGTATCGTTCGACGATATGGATAATGTCTCCTTTGTGCAAATTAGTAAAGTTGAGAGTGAAAACGAAGAAATGTTTCCAACTCATTTTAATCTTATCTACGATCGAATGTTTCAATGTCATGCGATTCGAAGAGGCGATGGAAAAGACGAAGATCTTCTCACTGGTGGAGATATGCTGCTAGTCAATTTTCATTATGCCATTTTCGATTATTTCATCGAATCTATTTTTCTGGCCGATTTGAAAGAGGCTTATTCAACTCTCGCACTCGACATGAATGACAATCACACACCGATCTACATTGATTATACATTGTGTGAACGAGATGATAGAGATGACAGTATGTTATCAGAATCAGATCTTGGATATCAGTTGCAATTACCCTACGATCATTGTCCATTATCATCAGGTCGCACGGGTCGTGCGTCAACAGTGAATCTGGAACTAGATGGAAGCGAGTCACTCGCTAATTTTGCTTGTCAAGTACAAGCCACCCTATCTCAAGTGTACTTGTCTGCCTATTATGTTTTCCTCTATAAATTGACACAATGTCAAGATCTCACCATCGGCAGCTATGTGAACAATGGGAGTCAATACGAAACCGCGTGTACAACCAACATGATTGAACCTGAAAATACGTTTATTCATCTTATAGAACATATCAAGTCGATGGCTAAGGATATGAAATCATTGCCTTACATAACAATTGGATTTCGATTTCAGACTATCACAAGTAAAATAGAATTGGCCGACAGATGTGAACTTACTCGTTGTATTCGTCCACCCAATACGACTAAACACGATTTATGTTTATCAATCGTAATGAATGAACGCAAACAGATGACTGGTTCCTTTGTGTACGCTTGTGACTTGTTCGATGAGTCTACAATTATTACTATGGCTCGTCGATTTGAATATCTTCTTGGCCAACTGTTGTGCAGTCCATTGACGAGTTCAATCTTTGAATTTTCACTGCTCCTTCCAAATGAAAATCAAATACTACATCAACTAGCAAATAGCAGCGAGCAGATACAACTTCGTAAAAATCTACTGCCTATCCACCAACAGTTCGCATATCAAGCCGAGGAACATCCACAGAAATTAGCAGTGATTCTTGACGATCAATCGTTAACTTATGCTGAACTATTACACTCATCACAATTACTGGCTCATCATCTCAAGGAAAACTGTCACGTGCAGCCAGGCGACATCATTGCTCAATATGTCGAGCGCTCCATCGAAATGGTAAGTTAAACTTGCTTTCAACATATGGAGAGTAGTGATATTCTCTTGTTTTATAATAGGTTATCGGAATACTGTCGATTCTAATGAGCGGTGCTTCATATTGTCCTCTATCTCCGGATCAACCATCGGCACGACTTCAGTCCATGATCGAACAGGTCCGAGCAAAGTGTGTCCTTTGTCACAATCGAACACGCACATTTATCTCATCGAATAATATTAACATCGATCAAATACTCGTGTTGCTGACCTCAACAGGCTGGATTGATGGTGATGATGATAATGATGATATCAATGTGTACATCAATTCGATTGCTTATGTAATTTTTACCAGTGGCTCGACTGGCACACCCAAAGCGGTTCCAATCAGCCATCAGAATTTTGCCGCTTGTGTTGATGCACTCGCTTACTCAGCGATTATGGCTCATAACGATACTGTCCTACAAATAACACCGCCTACATTTGACATTCACATACAAGAAATTTTAGGTACACTCTGGCTGGGTGGATCTATTTGTCTTATTCGACCTACCGGAAATCTTGACATGAACTATTTGATATCGGTCGTACAACGACATCAAATAAGTTTTACTGTTACAGTGCCCACGCTTCTTGCTATACTTGCCCAACACGTACACAACTTTCCTGACCTACGTCAAGCATTGTTCAGTTTGAAGCGTGTCTGTTCCATAGGTAACATATATTTTTTATAATTTAATTTAGAAACATTTTTATGCTTAGGTGAACTACTTCGGCCTCAAACAGCATCTCAACTCTACAACTGTTTAAACTCGACTGCACTTATCTATCATCTCTATGGTCCTACGGAATGCATCTTCGCAGCTACTTTTCATCTAATTACAAAGGACGATCTTGAGCAAAATTCTTTACCGATCGGTCGGCCACTTGCTGGTTACACATGTCATGTTCTTGATAAATATCGTCAGCCTGTTCTCTGCGACAAGCAGGTCGGTCAGCTCTTCATAGGTGGTCAAGCTGTGTTTGGCGGTTATCTCAATCGAGCAGATTTAACACGTGAAGCACTGATATCCTTGCCACAAGAACAAGGTGTATTCTATAGAACAGGTGATCTCGTGCGCGTCGATGTCAGAACAGGTCGCCTGTATTTTAGTGGACGAACTGATTTTCAAGTCAAATTGAGAGGGCAACGTATCGAATTAGGCGAAATTGAAGCAACTATTATGCGTTTTACGCCGGAAATCAGCAATTGTGTTGTTGTAAAACGAGAGCATGACAATTTAGAACATCTCGTTGCCTATGTTCAAACAAAAGTTTCCGTGAACATCAGTCTGTTACGTGAGACATGTCGAGAATGTCTACCATTGTATATGGTGCCATCGTTATTTATTCTGATCGACCATTTTCCCCTTAACCCAAATGGTAAATTGGATCGTAAAGCACTTCCACCTCCTGATTTTTCACTCCTTCTCTCGTTTAACTCGAATGCACCAGACAAACAGGATCATACCGACATGGAACGACAAGTTTCATCGATTTGGTCTCAAGTGTTGCATCTTGAATCGATTTCTTCTACAAGCATTAGTTTCTTCGCATTAGGTGGTAATTCGCTTCTTCTCATGAAACTTCAGCATGTCTATCAAACTGAATTTCATCAAGCTGTCGACATCAGTAAGTTATTTCGTCACGCAACTATTCACGATCATGCTCAATTACTCGAAGACCATCAGATGATTATAGAGCCACACTGGCATTCTTTTAACATTACCAGAGGTAAGATGTTCTCGAACCAAAGATTTTCTTGACTGATAGTGTTTCAGGACCTGCATCTTTCGCGCAAACTCGCCTATACTTGGATGAGCGTGTCCGTTTTAGCAGTGTGACTAATGCAGTCGCTACTTACCATATTCCTCTGGTCTATGAAATTGCCCAGACATCTGTTTCATTGAAGAGATTAAATCGAGCCTTATTAGCAGTAATTCAAAAACACAAGGCACTTCGAACCTGTCTAACATTTGATGAGAATGCTGGTGTGCTGCAGCAAGAGGTTTTGGATCAAGTACAAGTAGAAGTCATCTTGACACAAGCTGAGACAGATGTAGATGTAAAAAAGATTATATATGATGAAGAAACAAACCCTCGTTTGTTCGATCTGACTAAAGCACGAGTATTTCGATGTCACGCTATTCGACGACTGTCGATTGTCGATAACGATCTTCTTCAGCCATCCGATGTATTGGTCTTCAATTTTCACCATGCAGCATTCGATGGTGGTTCTATCGACGTGTTCTTTCAAGATCTGAAGAAACTCTACTCAACCGGTCAGTCTCTTTCGTCCTCTACGTTAGATTATATTGATTATGCGATACATGAAAAAGAAAGAAATATAGACGAAGCAAAAGCTTTTTGGAAACAACAATTGGACGGCTTCTCAAATTATTACCTCCAGCTCCCGTATGATCATTCACGAACCGATAAAAGTCTATCAGGCCATGGTACAACAATCACCCTACAGTTATCCGACGACGTAGTTGATAGCATGCTTTTACTTATGAAAACACATGAGACGACTCTTTTTCAGTTGGGACTAGCCGCATTCTACGCATTTTTATTCAAACTTACTCAAGAGGATGATCTTTGTGTACTCACAGTAATTGCAAATCGAGCAAGAGCAGAACTTGAGAACTTAATCGGTGTGTTTGTCAACACAATACCGTATCGACTCACCATTGATCCACATTCCAGTTTCACTTTACTAATGCAACGTGTCAAAGATCTCGCTCTCATTACACTTCCACATACTCATCTTCCCTTTCAAGAGATTGCGACGAACACAAACATTGCATCGCTGCAGACACTTTTTGATGTCGAAACTATACGGGATGATGAAGTTGGTCTCGATTCTCAGACAGTTTTACGTCCATTCATTGGCAGCACCACCGATCCATACAGTGTAGCGAAGTTTGACCTGACCTGTACACTTTACTATAACGTCCGCAAAAAATCTTTGACTGTTTCTCTCAATGGTTCCAATGATCTCTTTGAAACAAGTACAATTGAGTTAATGGCTCATCGATATCAATGTCTTCTTGAGCAACTGTTGTTTTCATCGACCACCAAATCAATTTCCGAATATTCACTACTTCTTCCTCATGAAATCCAACTCATTCAACAATTAGACCACCGCAATCAACTTCTTCTTCCTTCGACTCTTTTGCCGATCCACGAACAATTTGCATGTCGAGTTGTGCAACATCCACAGAAGTTGGCAGTGATTCTCGATGATCAATCACTGACCTATGCTGAGTTATTTCATTCGTCACAGCTTCTGGCTCGTCATCTCATCGACCACTGTCAAGTACAACGAGGTGATATTGTTGGTCAATGTGTTGAGCGCTCGATTGAAATGGCCATTGGTATCATGGCGATTCTGTTTAGTGGTGCTTCGTATCTTCCACTCTCACCTCATGAACCATTCGAAAGATTACAGATGTTGACTGATCTCACTCGACCACGATGTGTTCTCACTCACTCGACTACCAATCATCTCATTCCGAACAACAAAGTATCGATGGAGAATATAATTAACGGTGACTTTGAGTCTTCGACAGACGTGAATGTACTGATGGATGATATCGTTTTTTCGATTTTCACGAGTGGCTCAACAGGAACACCCAAAGTTGTACCCATTAGCCATCGAAACTTTGCACACATGGTGCAATCGTACTGTCAACTACAATTTCATGACGAAAACTATATCATAATTCAAATGGCTAGTTGTTCATTCGATGAACATACCAACGAATATATGGGTGGTTTGATTTGCGGTGCCACAGTTGTACTCCTTCGACCGCATGGTAATCTTGACACAGTTTATCTATGTAAAACTATTGAAAGAAATCAAGTCACTCGTATCGATTTTGTGCCAACAACAATCGCGATTCTGGGGGAATATTTAAATAAACAAACAGAGTTCGATAAATCTAACCATCTTGCCACTGTAAGAATGATTACTGTGGGAGGTAAGCATTCATCATATCGCTATTCATAATTTATCTGTCGATTTAGGCGAGCAACTTCAAGGAAAGGTTGTCAAGACGATCTTCCGGCACTTACAACCTACGTGTGTTTTAGCAAATATATATGCTCCTGCTGAAAGTACTGTATCGGCGTTATACTACAAGATTGAATCTCACGATACCGATCTACCAGAGATTATACCGATAGGCCGATGTTTACCTGGACGAATAGTTCTTGTACTCGATAACTACGGTCAACAAGTGTTACCTGATGGACGAAATGTTGGCGAGATATTTCTCGGTGGTGTCGGTATCTTCTCTGGTTATCTCAATGATCCTCAAGCGAGTGAACGAGTACTTATTCGATTACCTAACACTGATGATGTGTTCTACCGAACAGGTGATCTTGCCAGAATGACTTTAGATGGACAATTAGTATTTGTTGGTCGCAAAGATTTTCAAGTGAAGTTGAGAGGACAACGCATTGAATTAGGTGAAATAGAGACTGTCATCATGCGGTCATCCACTGACATTACTAATTGTGTTGTCATCAAACTCGAT